TAACTGCATACATCAAACTGAAATGAAGCAACAGGCCTAATGTTGAATTTAAACGTGGAATCACCGAGTTTAGTTCAAATGTAAAGACATCTGGGGAAAAAGTTGGATAATGTCTTCTGTCACTCTGGAGCTTTTCAAATTCTGAAAGAAATACAACTGGGTCTTAAAGTTTCAGTATTTCCGACAGTCAATGTTGTTTCACATTGACTGTACATTTGTTTCTCTTTTGAGCATCCTTACTTTATGAAAATGCAATGCTTTATTTTTTCGGATACCTCTTTATTCAGAGATTTAAACAGGTTAAGACCAACTCAAGTCATGGAAGACCAACTATTATGGTTGTTAAAAAAATATCATTCGTCACCTGCTTGGTCTTCAATATCAGGATACGTGTATTTATTATCCTTGCAAGAATGGAAGTAGTCATCACACACAGGGCTGCGTGGGACAAATAGTACCCAGAACAGTGTCCTTCAGATGCTTATATACAAGAGTGTTACAGTCACCCGATGGAGGTATACTGGTTCAAAGCAGTATACTGAGCCTTATTTCTGATTAGTTAAGTCCTGCGTAAGCAATACACATGTCAGTCATATGTCTATCTCCATAGAGGCTGAATCATCATGTTAATCACATAGCTATCATATGCCTAAAACAGTCCTGACGCTCTTCTAGGTAATCATACATCCGGTTACGTACACAGTTAGGGCCTTGGTTATCATGTGCTACTCTGATATTAGAAGAGCACATTCAGTATTTTCCCATCAATGGTTATACAATATCAAATGCATACAAGTAAAGTGGTAATAAAAACGTTTATTTACAAAAAGAGAAAATAAAGAAAACAATTGAATCCACTGCATTTAAAAAAGAAATAATGATATTTTTACTTATTTCATTTTAATTCCTGATACATATAAGAGGGCTAGGGATATAGGTTAGGGTTATGAGGACACTTTAAACTTCACAGTAATGAATAAACAGGATTTAAAAAATGTTTAAAACACAAAAGTTGATCTTGTAAAATGTAATAAAATCCATGATGGCAGGAGTCGGTGAAAGGTGTAGAAAGTGTGGTCACTTTAGGTCTGACAGTCTTACTGTAGAGTAAACCGTCTCATCCTCTGTGCTTCTCTTTCTTTTGCTCTTGCTTCGCATCGTTTTGAAATCCAGAGCTTCGTACTCCAAATCTTTAGATTCCTGATTCTGTAGACAATAAGGAACTCAATTATAGAAAACAGATACACTATACCTTTATAGTTATGGAATGTGGCGGTTTATAATGAAATATGATCGATGTTTGGAAGATCTTTAGAGCTTACCTCAATGTTAGGAGTGTATTCTGCGACCGAAGTGTGGGGGGGAGACACCCCTGTAATAAAAAAATCAAATGTTATAGTCATTACACTCCAAACAATGTAATTAATTGGACCCTTGACCTAAATGATGAGGTGTGTGGATTATCCAATGACAATTTTACATTATTTCTGAAAAATATATATTTAACTAACTTTTTTTTCTTGTACCCCTACAAATTGACAGTATTACTATTGAACTAGTTGAAAAATAGATACGTTATTTTTTAAATACTATGAACAACACAAATACAATTCTTAGAGACAAATGCCTCAAAACGGATACCTCAAAACCAGGGAAAACACCAAAAATATCTGCGTGGCTGGATAAAACTAAGAAAATATACTTAAGTCATTTTAGATATTCAGCAAAAATCTTTCCTCTTTTTTTTCTGACAACAGACAAAATGAAAAACTGAATAATAATAAAATGTACCTCCAGAAGGAAGGTTTTCTCTCCTTGACACTTTGCATAGGATACCGATTACGATGATGTTCAAGATAACAGACACAATCAGAGCTGCAACCACACAATGCACCAAGAGAGGGAAGATGTCTTGTCGTTTCTCTGTAAAACATAAAATAATAAAAAATGTAAAAAGAAATGGCTTTGACTAATATTTTTTTTAAATGGCGCTCACCTCCAACCTCCAGTCTTGTTCCTTTCCCGAAGATTATCTCTCCACATAAAGCCACAGCACAGTAATACGTCCCAGCGTCAGACAGGCTTACATTCTGCTTTGATAAACTGTGCACACAGCTCCACGCAGGAAACTCGGACCCCAGGCTCTGCACACACTGACTGCTGCCGTTTGTGTGGATGTACATAGTTCCAACATGTTTGGAGTTTGTTGTATTCTCCTTTTTGAACCAGTAAACACTTTGTTCTGTGTCATTGGTTCCAGTGTGCACCGTGCAGTTCAGAGTAACAGAGCCTCCAGGCTTCACAGAGTCGGACTCCGGCTGCTGGAGTAAATACCTGAGACTGGACTCTGAAATATTGAAATTGACAGAAAGGGTTATGAAATTGAGGACACAGAAAAAAAGTTGTTTACTGTCCTTAATCAGAAACAAAATACCTTTCAAAACCAAAAAAGTTCCGTTGTCAAATTCAGTGACTACGCCACTGATTTTTCCACAGTAGTATATAGCTGAATCCGAGTCCTGGACATTAGAAATGTTCAGATGGTAGAACATTAATCCAGTGTGAACTGCAAAGCGTTGGTCGTCTTTACACTCGTTGTAAAATATATTGCTGTTCCTTGCATGTATGTAGACAGAGGATATCATTCTAGGTTGCCTCCCTGGTACCTGCTTGTACCAACACAAGTTGTTGTCAATGGAGGTATAGAAACACTTCAAAGTCACATTTTGTCCGGGTTCAGCATAGAGCAGAGCGCCATCTGAAATACAGACAGTTAATTACCATTTAATGTGTCACTTTAAACACATTTAAAAATCTCATGCATCACAATTTCAAAATGTAAGATTCACTAAAAAAACACTTACAGGCTCTGAAGAGTGTAACTAAGAGCACATAAATCTTGAACATCCTTTACGCTCCGTTGTTCAGACTCTTCCAGTGTGATGGAGGTTTCAGTAAAAGTGTCGAGGTGAAATTGTAACGCCGTCAGCGGAAAAAAGGCGCGTTTGAGTGACCCAGGTATTGCAGAATTGTGGTTGTCAATACTTCTTCTAACGGAAGTGAAAGCGCTTCGATTGTTATTATTATTAGTCCGTTAACCCTTGCTAACAGCCAATCCTTTTAGAACATCTTTCCTTTTCGGCTAAATATGTCACACTGTGGTTTTGATGTCTTTTAGATGTATAAGGGGCATCAGGCTGGTGCACTAATTTGCCAGTTTTGTGCATGAAATGAGACTTCATACTGCAGAGAACAGAGCCTTGAGGAACTCCACGTCATTTTTGTAATTACCAAATATGTAGTCATCCCTTTTCTTTCTTCCTTAAATATTTTGTGTGACCTGGATATGCACTCACTCTTCCCTATATTTTGACTACCTTACAATTACAGAAATTAGGTTTTGAAGTTGCATTCAAAGACCCCATGTCCATATTGTTTTTGATATCTAGCTTGAAAAGTGGTTCAGTTGTAGGTTTGTTGTGACACATTGTCAGTTATGAGTATCTGAAACGGATAGATTCATTTATTATTATTCTTTTTTTGTACAATATCCCCAGTTTTCAGTATGTACAAAAGTGGAGGGTCACGAACAACTTAGATGTGTATATATAAGCTTCTGGTGCTTTTTTAAACATGTAAACAAATAGCTGTAGGCTATCCATGGTTATGATATTTTCGCGGCACACATACTTACAGCCAATCAGCTCTCTGAATTATGAGATGATGTTTGGTAGGTATGTCAGGACAGTGCCCCTATGGTGATTATTTTTTTGCTGCACACATTGAATAGAAAAATACAGCACCCATTCACTGAGACAGTGAGAGAGAGGGGCTAGATCGGTGCTTGACCCACGTCGCTCAAAACGGCTCAATAGGCACACTGTAGACACTAATTATAAGAACATAGACTAAAACAGCAATGTACAGACGAATCAGATGATTAAACATGATCTTAAAATATATTTTAAGATTTTTTTTTGCATCTATTTGCATTTTTTAGGAGTTATTATTTGAATGACTTTCTGCTGACACTAGGTGGGGCTATACCTGTCCCTAATGACCAGTCGCCACTGCCAGTTTTCCAAATTTGCTCAGGAATGTGATTTTTCCCCTCTATAATTTTGCTCTTTATTGCCAAGGCCAACCCCTTGGTGGCATGTGGAATCAACTGAATTAATAAATTGCATGTTTCCACATTACAAAAACAACAGAGAGATGTTTTTGTTTGTACTATCAATGACTAAGTAGCATGTCAAGTCTCTTTCCTTTATCTCACACACACAGACACCTAACAACAGACATCAGGGGACAAAAAGCAGAAGAGCGTGTGGGTTTGTAACTGGCTCGATCACCATATAAACAAGTCTGTATCACGTACTTAGAAAGAAATGAGACAAGAAAAAAAGAAACAGAATAGGAGAGAGCAAGAGGATGTGAAAATGCACGCAATAGCTTTGATGCTTTTCTCAATGAGGAAGCCTAGAAAAAGGAGAACTGTATCAATACCCCGGTGGGTCAGCAGATGTCAGTGTAAACCTTGAATGCAACACAATGAAGCCTGATGGGTGTATTTGTTGGTAACGTTGTAAAGGAATGATTGGCACATGTTTTCTCGTGTTTCATCATGCGACAGCTTCTCTCGCTCTTATGTTTGGTAACTTCTGCTTTGCTTGCCTTTGGGTATTGAGCATTACAGTATGTTAACAATGTGTGTAAGAGCACTATAGACAACTCCTAATATAGTTAATCTTATAATTACTTATATCTTGTAAAAATAAAATCCAGATTCATTATACACACAGGGTGAACAGCCTCTGGCATGTTAGATCAAGGTATGTAAGACCAGATTTTTATTTCAAACGGTCTGCTTTAATTATAATTTCACAGAAGTGTCAACTCTTCGTCATAGCAAGATTTATTTAGAATAGATTGATACTTTTAAAAGTGAGTGTGTTAACCTCAGTGGTTGACAGTAACTGAGTACATTTAGACAAGTCATGCACGTATACATTTTTAACGAATGAGTATTTCCGCTTTCTTCTACTTTTTACTTCTCTATATTTCGTTGCTAAGAAGATTATGTTTTTGATAATGGGAAGGTTAAAAAAATGAGTTTACGTAATATTGCAAAACACTAAATCTAAGATTGTAAACAACTTTGAAAGATGGAACTAAAAATGTGTTATTTAGGTAACACGTTTAAGAAAAATGAACCACTCTGAAAAGATCCTGCTTCTATTACCATCTGTTGTCATAAACCGTGCTCTCTCTTCATCTTTGACCAACACTTGAAGTTGACGTCCCAACTATACAAAATTAAATTATGACTTTACACATTTGCTGTACAGTATAAAGCTATATTTGACATGCCGTTCCTGAACCCAAATTATGAGAAATAGAAAAAGAAAAGTATTATCTAACGCAGGGGTGGGGAACCTTTTTCCTCTCAAGGGCCATTTCAATTTTTACAACATCCTTCGAGGGCCGTACAAATTATTGAACTCAACGTCTGCTTAAAAAACTCAAATCACAGCCCATTCATTTCGCCTTTCTTTCATGCTGTGCAAAGAAAAAGCAACCTCTTAATCCAGATATTTGACCATGACCCGCGCATTCATAAACCGTGGCATGACCACCAAAACAGAAAGATATGGACACAAGATGTGTGCAAATGTATTTAATTTCATATCCATGTGGACATGATTTAAGTGGTGGGGGGGGGCGGATCTAACCTCATCTCGGGGGGTTTGGGGGCATGCACCACCAGGAAGATTTTTTTTAAATGTTGAAGTTAAAAGCATCAATCTGGTGCACTTTGAGAGCAACATGAAGAGATCTATATACATCTCTCAACACCCATATGAAACAGAACTGCAAGCAGATTTTTTTCTTTATGGATATTTTACAAATCACTTCCCTTTTAAACGGTATTCTTGTTTATTAATAACAACTTTTTTTTACTGTCATATTAGTATTGTATACCTGTTTACTTTATTCTCTTATTTTTCTATAACTATAATGATCATATAAAGATGTGCCTTTACCTCACTGGTTGGAGAAAAAGCTTCTTATATTCGTTAGCATAGCTAGCTAACCAGATGCTAATAACAACAAAGTTATTAACTGTATGATCAGTATGACAGATGAACAGATCGCCACTGGGCTTTCAACTAAAGGCACAGCCACGCAAAAACTGCGGCATGTGTACAGCTCCTTATGGGTATTGCAATTTGTGAAGTCCCGGCCCGGAGCAGCGTTCTGGTGCTCTCCGTTAGAACTACACTCCTGTCAGACGAGACATATACCACGTGATGACACGTTAGGCTCGTGTTGTGTTCAAGGACCCTGACCTTGGCCAGGAAAAACAAGCTTGTTTAATTATTTTGTGGTCTAGATTTCTTGAATTTTTTTCTTTTTTGCGTGTGTTTATAAATCACCTCGAGGGCCGTACCAAATGGTCTCGCGGGCCGTATACGGCCCGGATGCCGGAGGTTCCCCACCCCTGTATAGACTATGTACTATCATAAACCATCCGAGCGTAATCAGCTAAATCAAACGCACCCTAATCTTTTTTCCTCCTTCAAAATATGCTGGTGTTGAAGCCGNGACCCTGACCTTGGCCAGGAAAAACAAGCTTGTTTAATTATTTTGTGGTCTAGATTTCTTGAATTTTTTTCTTTTTTGCGTGTGTTTATAAATCACCTCGAGGGCCGTACCAAATGGTCTCGCGGGCCGTATACGGCCCGGATGCCGGAGGTTCCCCACCCCTGATCTAACGCTTTTGATACCTTGCTATGTTAATTCCTAACTATTTATAGACGGTAATTGTTTAATCTTCAATATGTGCCGTATGATCACAATTGTGTTTCTTTCCTGTTATTTTAGCATATCTAGGTCAGTGTGTTCTATTCACAGTAGAATCCTTTGTTGCTCTTACATCATGTCATTTAGGTGATTTTGGTAGTACACTTTTATGAGGCTGAAAATCAAATAAACTAAATAAAACTGTTTCTTCATCAGTTTTCTTAGAGACCACAGCGCTTCATTTATAAAAAACACCAGACTCTTAGAGGTTGATTCAAATTAAGTTGTTTTCACACTTCCCCATCTTCTAAGAACTTTAGGTTCCTTTTGAGGTTTGTGACTTCCTATTACTGTACATGTACGCCCATGAGGCCAGTGCTGGGTGCTGTGTCATGTAGTAAGACAACATGAAAGAGATCTCATCGGACCTGCCAGAGACGGAATAGGTAAGAATTTTTTTTTTAAATGCAGGAAAATCTCAACACAAGGGGAAAGGGAGAAGCCTTAGTGTCTCGAAAGAGTGATGTCAAATGGATGAACATTGCAAATGCTTGATTCTTTCTTATAGACAAAGGACAATTTAAAAATATAATGACAAACTTTAAATTCTCTTTGCAATGCTTGTTTTTTCCCCGCATTTGCAGAGTTTGAGTCAGTAGCAGAAACCACTAAGTAGTTAGTGTAATGTGTTTTCACCATTACACTTTTTTTTTTCAATGTGAAGACTGTGTTTAACTGGATATTACATACAGACCATGCTTAGCAACCTAAAATAAGAGTAGGCTATATCAGAAATGATGTTTGAGTGTATTGCTTTATATGTCATAAATCTTTGCATGTTGTGTTATATGATCCGATTACAAAGACTAACAGGTACATTTAACAGGATCTGGGGGAGGATGTGGGTAGGGTTGGGAACCGAAACTCGGTTGGATGAGAACCGATAAGAAAATGCTGGGTACCGGGTACCAGAGTCAGCTTTTTTCCGGGTTCGGTTCTGGGTAAAACAAAGATGATGCGGGTCGAGTCGTGGGTGTTGCATAATAAATATATTAAAATTATAATAATTTAGTAAACTTTAGTGTCTAAATCCTCAGACCTCTCCCCCGCGGGACCGCGCATAATCATAACCTCTTCAGCGCATCAATCTGCTGCTGAGCGTGCCACATTTGAAATGGCTGAGGTGAAGCTCTTTTGCGGAGAATACAGCATTTTCAATAACACTTCCTCAAGAGCAAAATCCAACGTCTAGGAGGCTTGTGGTGTCATCCTAGATGGAGAAAATAACCAACATCCCACGCTTTTTGAGACAAATGCAACTGCGTGTGTTAATAATTGCACGTTTTCACTGCTCATAGGATATGTGGGTTCGGGTCGGGTTGCGGATCTTGTGCCGAAGGGTCGGGTCGGGTTGCGGAACTAATTGGCAATATGTGCGTGTAGCGGGGCGGGTTCGGTTTTGCACGTCGCGGGTGCGGGGCGGGAGCGGGTCTTGAAAATCAGACTCGTGCAGGACTCTGCCGGGTACCCATAAAAAGTACACTATTTTCGGTTCTGATTAACGGTTCCTAAACGCGGTAGACTAACCCTTTAGTATTGCAAACAAAGCCTACATATCTGCATGGACGTAGGCTAAGGCTACGTAGCTAGCCTATCTGTAAGGACCTGTAGTAGCGTGACGATGTCAATGGAACAGCAGCGTGTGATTTGATTTGTTTAGATTTAGTCTAACAGAAGTTAAATCCATTTCTCACTTATTCTGACAATGTACTTAACCACAAATAAAAGAACCCAATAAAAAGAGTTGTTAAATAATAGTGAAGTCACGTTGTAATAACAATAACTCATCTCTCTCTCGTTTTATTTTTGAGCTTTGCCAAAAGCCACTGTGTCAATGTTGTCCTACTTGGGTTGCCGTCCGGAGTTGTCCAATATGGCGGACCATCTCGCACATGCGCACTGCAGATCGGGCAGAGCTGCAGATCGGGTAGTGGCTGTCACTACCCGATAAATAAAGCAAAGCTAATACATTTGTATTGCATGTATTGTTTTATTTGTAAATAAAAGAATAAAGATATTTTTGGTATCTAAACATTTGAACTCTTTCTTTTACAATTTTGGAATCGAAACGGGGAATCGATAATAACCGGAATCAATAAGCAGAATCGGAATCGATCAATTTCAGATGATACCCATCCCTAGATGTGGGCAATAGAAAAGATAAGAATGCAAAGAAATACAGATGCAACACAGACTGCAAACACAAGAAGGTTTAAACAGGGAAAAAAGGTATCTCTTCAACTTAAGATTCACACATAAAAAGTGAATTTATAGTTTTCCAAGAAAACATGGATGCCCGTCTGATGGTTAGAGTGCACTTGTTTATTTTATATTTTAATTTTGTTTTGCTGTTTGTTTGGTTATATTATTTTAACATAAATATATATTTAATTAATAATGTATTAATGCAATCCAAGTAATAATGCTATAAGTTCAGCTTTGATTTTAAAGTAACAACAAAAATACCTTTCTAATTAAACTCTTATTACTCATCAATAAAGCCTTAATGGATTGTTGATTAACCTTTGATTACATACAGGAGTCATTTTATAGGTTTCACAACCGATTCAAATGAAACCTCATTTGCATGCAACAGCCAGCTGCAAAACTTCACACATTCAAGTTCCTCTCACCTCTGATTGTGTTAGAGAAGCATATGTAAATGTATAAAACTGAAACTGAAAAACTGCTGCGTTGGAGAATGCATACTTCTCTTGTCAGGAGCAACTTCAACTGATTTCGCAACTCAATTAAACTGATAATGTATTCTTATAGAACTACCTTGAACTAAGTCTCCAAGAGCTCAGACTTCCCTATAACCTCTCAGTCTCATAATGTCTCTCTCTCTGTTTTAGATCACCAGTGTGAAGTCAAAAGCCCAAGCTAAAGGACATCAGCTCATCAAAACAGACAAAAGACATTTTCCTTCAAGATGCACTGTCCTGTCAGCCAGGATGCAAACCTCAGCCTTCTTACCCTATCAAACCAAACGTCCTCGATGACCTCTTTGAACATGTTCACCATTTCGCTCCATGGCTTGTTCTCTTCCATCGGCATCATAGAGAACGCCCTCATCCTCGGAGTAGTGGGCTTCCAGGTCCGCCGCTCTGTCATCAGCATCTGGATCCTGAACCTGGCAGCCTCCGACCTGCTGGCCACCGCCTGTCTACCCTTCTTCACCCTCTACATGGCCCGCGGAAACACCTGGACATTGGGCGCGACCTTCTGCCGCATCCATTCCGCCATGTTCTTCCTCAACATGTTTGTCAGTGGCTTCCTGCTGGCGGCCATTTCTATGGACCGCTGCCTGGTTGTGCTGAGACCGGTCTGGGCGCAGAACTACAGGAACGTCCAGCTCGTGGGGAATGTCTGTGGGGTGATTTGGGCCTTGGCTGTGCTCTTCACGGTTCCCTTCTACATATTCCGTGACACCTATGCCCTCCCTAACGGCAAGATCCTGTGTTACTACAATTTCGCTCGACTCCTACCTGCTGAACCTTTTGATCTTGTACATTTGTGTAATCAGCGCAAGGAGGCCTTGGCCTTTATGAGGCTCTTTCTGTCCTTCCTGATCCCTTTACTGATCATCATCCTGAGCTATACTGCCGTCAACATCGGCTTGGTGCGCAGAGGCTCCCGACGTCCTTTCCGTTTTGTTCGGCTGGTCATTGCCGTAGTGGTTAGCTTCGTCCTCTGCTGGGCTCCGTACCATATCTTCATCATCGTAGAGGTGATGGCACCCACTGGGCATCCTGCGCAGATATTCGCAGGCAGGGCCCTCCCAATTTCAGCAACCATCGGCTTCCTTAACAGTGTCCTCAATCCGATCCTGTATGTGTTCAGCTGCCCTGACCTATGCAAGAAGATTAGACACTCTCTGAGCGCGGTGATGGAGAATGTTCTGGCTGAGGATCTGGCAGAACTGGCCCGACGCCGCAGCACCGCTCGCACCTCCATCAGCACCACCGAGATTGTGTTGAAGCCGAATGCTCTTACAGCCTTGTGTCTGAAAGCAGAGGATCACGGAGTAGAATTGGAATCCTGCTAAACTGCCCAGAACAGTCTGAAAGTGTACCGTAAATGTTCTTATAGTTGCCCTACTCGTTTTTCTAACTTTTTTTAATGAGTCCTATAGACAGGCCTTTTATTTGTTGTTTTTCGTGTGCTATAGTTAAAAATTCCTTTTGATGCTGTTTCTTATACCTCTTAATTGTTAACCACTTTCATTAGAAAGCATCACTCTCGTCAGTACAACAAAAGAGTCCTTTATACTCACCAAACTTCCGCTGGTAATACAGTTTCCTTTCACCTCAAGTCGAGGCCTAATTACGTAACTTCCACTTGGATAGCTTTTTTTTTGTCAAGGTTAAACTACAGTCGATACTTTTGCACAAATGTATCAAATTAAAACATAATCTAGAAACGTATTTTTTTAGCTAGCCTTGTCGAGATGAATAGCAAGCAGGTTTTATTTTACCACAAATACTGACATTTATTCACAAGTCATGACAATGGAATTAAATGAAAAGTTAATGAATAATGAACAAATACCCATAATAAATCAAATAAATATCAATAGATCATCATTAAATTGAAATGCAATTAACCAATTGAACTGGAAGCTTAGTTGGTATAAATGCTTCTGCTCTTGGCAGGCTTTTATTTTGAAAAATCAGCAGAAAGTGCTGATTAAATTATCATTATTTTTCAAAAGGTATAGTCAAATCCATTGGACTGTTGTTGTTCTGATTAAGTGATGTTGCAATTTACATTATAAGAAGTGTAACATGTGCTTTTACATTGTAAATCATTCAATCCGTCCTCAATGCTTTCTACCAAGTTTTTGTAGATGTATTTGTATGCAATGGCAACATACACTGCTATATTTAACAATTTATAAATACTGGCTTTTAGTCTAAAAATGCATGGTACTTCAAGTGTGTGAACAATTTGTTCAAACTTTTAGTCTTATCTGACTGATAAATGCATCTTTATAATACTGAAAGTATAAGGATTTATTAAGCATTACTCTACAGTCAGTACTGAATACTTACACTTGTGATTATAGGGCATTTCTTAACCTCCACAATTACATACAGGGTTCTGAATGATTTTCTTATTTTTACTTGAATGCTTAATAAATATGTTAATTTGTATCACTTTCTCACTTTGTAAAAACGGTTTGTACTATGGGTCACGGAAACATAACGTGTCTCCTGCTAGATGTTATCAGTAGCAGCAGGAAATGAGACAAGCAACACTTTAGAGTTAGACTATGCTCTTCTTATTTTCATAAATTTGCAAATTGTGTTTATAATAAGGAAAATATATCTTAATTGTCCATTATTGCATTCTGCACATGTAATTCCTTTGTTTTAATGCTTTGACATATAAACATAAATAAAAAAGAGAAAAGACAGATCTTGTAATGATATACCCACAGCCATGCTCGTGTTTCCGTAGTGCTTCACACCAATTCTTTTTTTGAAAGGCCTGAGCCTAAACAAGTCACAAAGCATGAATATGTATTCGTTGTTTAAATGACAGTAACAAATAGGTGAAATGACTGCTTTGGTCTATTTCCATACACTGGCTAGAAAGCCAACGTAGTTCATAGATTAATCAGAAACTGTATTTATTATGGCCTTATATGTTTAATGTAAGGTGACAATGGCTATGGAAAATCACAAAAGACTGGATTTGAAACTCTTAACTGAACTGAATAAAAAAAGACTAAATTAAAAAGTAACATCACTGTGATCATGCTCTTCCACTGGATGGCACACTTGCTTTGAGTCAGCTCTATAGTTGAATCCAAGCTATACTCCTAGAAGATTATTATGTCCAGTTGCAGTCTCTATCTTGTTGTCCGGTTGAGCTCTGGTACTGAGGATAATCTTTTTGCGGGAGTTTTGCCCCCTTCCCAAACAGGGCAGGGATCTCTGCAGCTCTAGCCGGGCATCAGGGCACAGGAAGATGTAGAAGAGGGGATCCAGCAGGGTGTTGAGGCTGGTCAGACCGTAGCACAGACGATAGACAAGGAATATGGACCGCTCAAATCCACATGGCTCATCTGTCAGCAGAAAGGATACAAATCTGTATCCGCCCACGAGGTGATAGGGTCCAAACACAACAATGAAGTTGATGGTGATCACGATTAGGATGCCCACGATTTTGTGCCGCTCATGGTCAGACAGGGAAGGAGATCGTCGGAGTGTCACCCCAATGTGGGCTGATGTGTAGCTAAAGGGAAGCAGAGTTGCATATTAAAAGACTTAGAATTCACAAAATGATTCTATGTTCCCCATGGACATTGTACCAATTGCCTAAAACAAGTTAGGGTTAGGGTCTTGGGGAACGTGCGGTGCTCCAGGAGCACAGCGTGGTGCACGGGCTCTCGGATAAATATGTTTGTTTAAAAACTTATTTAAAAACTCCTGTAATAAAACCGATACAACCTTATAAAAGCCATGTTTGGTCTGTGTTAATTTTTTTTTATGAAATAAAGAAAATGCAATAAAAGTGATAGAAGAGACCAGCGCTGAAGCACAGAGCGTGTCCCCCGGTGGTGTGTCCGAGGTTGTGTCCCACAACATCTGGTAAAAGACCTGGTAAGTAAGTAAGGCTCAAAGTACAGAGGTTGACTTTGTTTAAAATCGGCATGCTGATAAAATTTGTGTGAACAAATTCATGATAAATAAATACATAAAAGTGCTTAGTGAAATAAGTGCTTTAAAAAAAGTACTGGTAATAAAAATCACATCAACCCAAATGTTACAAGATAGAATAAAGTATAAAATATATAAAACATAATATATAGAACTATGAAATATAATAAGGTATAAAATATAAAATATGTAAAATATAAAACAAATATGTAAAATATAAAATACACACGGGTTAGTAGGCACACAGGGAGGGACCATTTTTTAAAGTTAAGTCAACCCAAGTGTCCCTAAAGTGTTTAAAACCCAAGCCGAGAGGTGGTGCAGGTGAGACATGGGACAGGCCTCGGATGATGTTTAAAAATACTTTGTAGACTACATGTAGCGTACCAATTGCCTAAAACGAGTTAGGGTTTGGGTTAGGGTTAGGGTTTGGGTTAATTGTATCAGTTTTCATTTCAGTTGAAACTACTTTTTATGGTATTAATACAATTTGAAGATGATAAATAGTTGGCTTCCCTTTTGATGAAGCACAGATTTGACCACTTGAACTGTGCAGACACCAAGAAGTTCTTGTGCTTTGAAAACGGTCAACTCTTTTGACCACAAAGCATTTACGTGAACAGGTTTTGAAACACAACATTAAAAAACATAGGGTTTACCCACCCAAGTATAGCACATGGCAGCATGAAGCCCAGGGCCATGGTGGTGATCTTGAAGTGGGCGTATCTGGGGCTGACGGGGTACTTCTCCAGACACAGCAGTTTGTCAGAGTCAAACACTGACGGGAGCAACCCGCTCAGACAGTACAGAAAGGTCAGGGTCCAAACCACCACGCCGGACACCGCTGCCACCCTAACAGTCCGTATCCTGCGGCTGCTCAACGGGTACACGATGGCCAGGCAGCGGTCCAGCGCTATCAGGCACAGGAACATGACGCTGGCGTAGACGTTTACGTAAAACACGTATCCCACCAGCTCGCAGGTCAGCTGGCCATAGGGCCATTGGTGCCCACCTTGGAGATAAAGGATCCAGAGTGGCAGGGTGAGCAGCTGCAGGAGGTCTGACAGCAACAGGTTGAGGATGTAGACCAGTTGGCAGCCTCCTCCGCCTGAACGACCCAGGTGGTACAGTCCCCATAGAGATAGCAAGTTGCTCGGGAGACCCAAAGAGAAGATCAGGCCGTAGATACAGGTCAGGCCAAATGTGTCCGTGTTTAACGGGAGGTCGCAGCTGTCGTTGGACATGTCTTTGTTGGTCAAGGACCTGACATAGGAAACTGGAGTTGACCTTACTCAGACATGGATGATGAGTTGGTGTAGAAATACCCATTCATTTGCTCTAGCTAAAGTCTCAGTTGCATGTGGTATGTGCCAATTGCATACTTTTCATGAATGCATTCTCCTGTGGAAAAGGTCAGCTTACGTGGTATCAGTAAATCATTCTCCAAAGCATCCAGGATCCATCAGGGGATAAAACACCTGCAGATAGAAGAGAGCATTCTCAAATCAGCAGCAGCATGAGCAGCTAAACCGTGCAATTCCAACAAAGGCTTTTCACTCACCTCTTTAGTTCCCTAAAAGCTTGCTGCCTGATCTGCAGCTGGGTGACCTTGATCAAGAAATGCTGGGAACACGGTGTCTGGACCAAGTCTATTCTGTGATCGTTTCCTCCACAGGAAACCTACTTCTTCAGCTTTAAAAGCAACATCCTGAGGCAGGAGCACGCCTTTCTGCCCCAGAACAAAAACATATACTCTCTCGCTCTCCATGTCTCAGTTATTTTATTCCAAACAGGATGATTAAGGTGGACATAAGCTGTGAGGAAAGGAACTGATGTACGGCGTCCACTAATGCCCTTTAGATTGTCGTTCGCTGGCTATGTGCCATCAAACACATTAACTCTTCTGCTATGCTGTCTTCATTTATTTTCCTGTATAAAGTTCAGTTTTTCATGTTTATCTTGTGCATCTTGCAGGAGAGTTGATTGACGGACGAGATTAAGACCACAGAAATAGAGCAAAAAACAGCCTGCTAGAACAAAAACATTTATTCTCGTAAAAGTGAATGAGTGGTGAATTTATGGACAGTGAGTGGGTTTAAATTTAACCAGGGTGAACTTTGCTCACGCACAACTAGAACAAAAACAATTCTACACAATTGAAATTGTTTTAGGTAAGAATGGCTATGTTGAGACAATGGGAGCTAGGCAGTATTTTTACCCTGTGGTTCTAAAGGGAGGAGGGTGTAATCACTCACTTTGTTACCTTTAAAATGTCACCAATCTCTGATTAATTGAATAATCCAAAATTGTAACTAAGCAGTACTCTTAGACATGACTTCCCATATTTAATTGAGAGCATTGCGCTAAGGCCTCTGCGACCTGTTTAGACCACATTGGGATGAAGAGACAGATAACAGCTGTATGTTGCGCACTCAACTACAGGGGAAGTGTCTTTAAAAAAGGCCTCAGCTGGGAGACATAATATAAGTTGCTTCTAGACCAAGCTGGTTGCAGGATGTTTTCTACTCCATGTTCATCTTTTCATGGCATAGGGCATTGTATATACAATATGCATATAGAAATATAGGGAAGAAGCCATTGTCATATGAACTTCACCAGCATTGACCACCAACAAACTGAAGTACTAGGCAAAGAGAGTCAATTTTATAGTCAGAGTTCTGCATAACAAATATCAAACAGGACGCCACAGTGAAAAAACTGAGAACCTTATTGCTTCATCCTTCTAACCCCCCCCCACAACATATTTATTTTTGTATTTGCTTTATGAAGATATAGGAAATGTCGAGCTCACCTGTCAGAGCACTTCTCTAATAGTTGCCAAAGAAAAGCTATAACTTATATTATCATTTCTAAAGCTTCAAGTAATTTTCTTCATGTATTTACTACAGTCCTACAGAAAGCTGTATGAAAGCGAAGATGGCTCTGGGCACAATCTATATGCTATTATGCAACCCTTTATACATGACAAGTTATCACCTCTTAGACTTTTCTAACCTTTTCTCGGAAAAACAACCCCATTTAGCCAAATCACTCAACAACAGGCTTGTATTATTTTGACTATATCACGGTGAAACATCTTCATCTCTGCTATAGTTTAGTGACAAGTATATGGTGTGCAATAGTTAAAGAATACCAGTGAGTATTCTTTCTCCTCAGTGCTCGGGTCCTTGCTTGACCTGGTATTTAGTTCCTTTTCCAAAAGTAGCTTTTTCAAAAACAATTGTGTAGACCCCAATCTCGTGTGTGGTGTGTGTGGTGTGTGTGGAAGTGATTTCATGATAAGACTCAAGTGTGTTTTCCTTTACAAAATGTTTAAATGTACAGTATAGCATTCATACATTTTTACATTTATAGAACGATGACAAAATGCACATATTATATTGATGCTAATTTGGTATATGAGCACATGAAATACATTGCAGTGTTTGTAATAACATGCATTTATTCAGCAAGGTAGGAGCACTGTACAGATATTGCTCTACGTTTAGTAGAAATAGCATAATATAGTGTTCCAGTGTCTTTTCTTGAAGATTCGTCTCAACAGTCCATGTGAGCAAGTTCCTTTTTGTGCAAATAGTTTGTGTCACACAGGAATGTGTAACTGATGCTAAACTCACAGTAGTCAGATGGAAGCTGTCACCTAATCTGTCTGTGAAATCCTGATAAATATGAGTAATATGATTGATGTGATATACAACAGTTTATATCAGATTATATATATACTGTATGTGTTTCCTGTTACAATCAGTTACTCTGCCTTTGTCTTCCTCCTGGACGTTCGACAGCAGAGAATCTTACACACAGAGACTGAAGCCCAGACAAAGGCTGCAATGAGAGCCATTAATAAAAGAGCCACATCCAGGCTGAAGTAGGTATACCAAGGCAGACTAAAACCTACTGACTGCAAATGGGCGGCTCCTTTATTCCTGATCACGTACTCAATCCAAAAAATGGCGGTGTCCATGGGGGACATTGGCTGATCGTGGTGTAGCCGTGAGAGACGCTGTATGTTCTCACGGTATGAGGGAGTCTCTAGAATGTCTGTTATAGCCTCTAGGAAGTTTTTTTTGGTGAGTGAATTGGCCTCCAACACCCTAGCTGCCCCACGTACCTTCAGCCGGAGTACGTTGTCAAACTGGTCAAAGAGGAGGGGCAGGCCCAGAACGGGAACGCCGTGGTAAATGGCTTCATACATGCCGTTGGTGCCGCCGTGGGCTACAAAGGCACGAGTTTTGGGGTGACCCAGGAGGTCTCTCTGAGGCAGCCAATTCACCAGCAGGGTGTTGTTCCCCAAGGATGACGGCTTTTCACCAATAAACCTCCACACCACCTTCTGAGGTAGTTGAGCAAAAGCAGCGGCGATGGCCTCTGTGGCCTCGCGATGCAGTGCTGACACCAGCGTCCCCAGAGACATGACCACCACCCCATGCTCCCCAGAGCTCTGCATAAAGGCCTCCAGCTCATCAGAGAGGGGTCGGGGCTTTTTGCACTGGAACCCTCCAATGTAGACTACGTTGGGCATGGTAGGTCGTGGGAACTCAAAGACAAAATCAGTCCTCATGAGCCACATATCGGCTGCAAGCTCTAAAGACAGTAAGTCGGTTCCGGGAGGGAAATGCCTCTGGAACAGATCTGAGTAGTAAGGATTGATGAAAAAGTGCTGTTCTACTGAACTATAGATATAATGCAACATGTTCTTGGTTCTGTCCAGGAAGTCCATCTGATCGCCAAGTTCACTTCCTGACACGGGGACATAGGAGACAGGAGAGGGAGCCATGGTTAAATGGCCCTCCCCATTGTTAATCCAGCGCACATTGAAAACCATTGGCAGCTTGAGGTAACTACCCAGAATAACCCCTGTAGTCAGAGCGGGATCTGTTAACATTAAGTCAAACTTGGCATCTTGCATTTTCTTCATAAAAACAGGGTCATCTAACATTGTAGCAGAGGCTCTGGAAAGGATCTCATGGCCTTGTGACAACATGGATGTGATCAAGTGTTGTTGGTAGAAGCTGCGTAAAAAAGTTGGCATCCTGCGACGTTCCATAACATTTAGTAGCATTTTATTGTAGTAGTCCAAATCTGATTCATCTTGCAACATGGTCACATTAATAGAATTAAAAATTGGGGAGGTGCTAGGGATGAACCAGCTCTTAGCAGAGCGCAACACGGTGATTTCGTGGCCTCTGGAGTGCAGTTCTCGGAGTATCACCTCCATGTTGATCCAGTGGCTGCCATCAACGGGCACTACTAGGATTTTGCTGCCACTACAAGTGGGACTGAGCAACAGGAAGAAGATTCCTGACAGGATTATAGCAATCATGCTGGACATTTCCTTGGAGAAACAACAGACAGAAATAAAGATAATTATTAAACTCAGTAGAAGCACAGGTCCATCCAAACATAAATATGACAAACAAAAGAAAACGGCATGTCTTATATGTGCTAGTCTGTCAATTGTGGTACAATTCAACAGTGGTTGAAGGTAGCAGAAATATGTAGCTTAAATGTGAAGTTCTGATTTACTGGAACGCAAGCAAAATGCTTGCCAAGTCATTGTGGGGAGCAGGGGATATCCAGCACCACAAGAGAAAGGGGGGGGTCAAAAGGTTATCTTCATTATTGAGTTCAATGTCCTCTGCAATGAGTTACCATAAAACTGACAATGAAAATGCAAAGAAGTTCAGCAAACATATCACTGAAGGATCAAATTGTATCTTTTTGGATCCATCAATGTATGTCTCTTATTCCTTACTGCCACTCACCATGTGGTCTAGTGCTTTTGCTAGCTGTGGGCTATCTTTAGCTTGTTCTTATACAGGTGCACAAGGGTCTTTATGCACCAATGTGGACCTTATACAGACTGATAAGTGAGATGTAAATACCAATTTTCCTCTACTTTGAAATACTATAGCTTAGTAGCCCTAACAATAACTCCTCATCAGCTGGTTGGTAAACGGTCAAGTGTTAAGCTACCTTGATTATTATTAAAAATGCAGGCATTGGGTCTTAATTACAGCTAAAAGTGGACTTGTCATAATGACATATATCATTTTCTGCATTTTCCAACGACGCACAGTACACTGAAACACTTACACATATGGGCATTATGATATTGCATAGATTAGACATGAACACAACTTGGATCAAAGTGAGCCTTTAGTTTTCGAACCCACTTGTGGTGAGATTTACAGAACGCATATTACATAGTTTTTGTTACTGTTCATACTGTTGGAATAGTATATTGTCCTGTATCAAAAACATAGTCCACAGTCCAACAGCATAACAGATGTTCAGTTAAATGTTCAGTTGTTGAAATGTAAAGTTAATCTAATGCCTCACCTGGTTTTTGTTGTCTCAAAATCCAAGAGTGTGGCATGAGCTCAGGTCCTCAGTGAGCCAGGATACTATGTGATAACTGCACCTTCACACACTATTACCCTGTGTTATGATGAAACGACTCTACCAGGTCTAAGTCCAGAATGTGGGTTATTGGTTAATCTCAAAGGTCTGTGCAATTGTGGATGACATAAAAGCATGATATAAACAAGAAGGATATTGCATATAACTTCACTTTGTAATTTGAGTTATCCAGCATTTGTCTAATGTTTCATGTTCCTGTTTTATACTTCACATAAAAAACTTAGACAGCCTGTTAA